CTAGTGAGATCCAGTTGAAAGTTATCCTCAAACATTTCTAGATCCCAATGAGTAGACAAGATTCTTTCTTCCCTTTATCAGTTCTCAGATATGATTTTACAAGCTTCCTTTAACTGAATGATCCTACAGGACCAAGCCTGTTTCAGGGAATTAATCCTGGGCCTGTTTCTCTAGGGAGATTTCTTAAACTGTTCCTGTGCTGGGGACATTACTTACTTCAGGTTATGGTCCCTGTTTTTATTCATCTTCCTCAATGTTGTTGAGCTCCTGTGTCGAGAGTGGGATTTAAATTCATTCTGATTCTCTATATCATGATCCCCCCCCCTTTTTTTTTTACCTACTCCTAATGGTCACTCTGTAGTGCCACTTAACTATTATGTCTTTTATTATCCTGCCTTTCTTGTTCTCAGCCACCAGAGCCACTGCTGTTTACAAAGGCCAAATATCTCCTGAAAACCTCACAACTTGCTTCTCAGAAGACTATTGGCTTTGTCATCTCTTAATTAGACTTCCAATACTTACCCAGCTAATTCACAATCTCTCTCCATACGTATTTTTAATAGATCTCCTCTCTTGTTAGGGGATTTACACCCTTTCCATGGCGTTCATGACTGGAAATAAAAATAAATTATGTGTCTTCACATATTCCTGCCAGCCAGTGTGTAAGTTAAGGTGTTTCCAGTAGTTTTGTTGGCAATGCAGGCATGATAGCACATGCAGTGTGATGTGTACTTGGTGTGTTAAGAACCAAGGTTGTAGTGAAGTTGTGTGATACAACACAGGTGAGCACCACCAGAAATATTTCAGATTCATTTCATGCTTTATTTTTCACAAATTTTGGTCATTGTGTGCTCAGAAACTTTTTTACTATTGTCAATGCTCTCCTGAACTTTACATTAAGTTGTGTGACTACGTATGGGGTCATGACTGATAGTTTAAGAAGCAATGCTGTAGGAGAAGATTCAATGAGACTAAAGAATTGAGTATTATAAGCTGCAAGGAGTTTTGTCTTACAATCCTTTGTTTAACCAGCTTATGCTTTATGATTGAGTCTTCATGACTGTTTTGCATTGGTTTATTGTGCAACAGCAGTTAGAGCAGGACCTACTCATTTCCTGAATCGGAAAAAGAATTCTGATTATTTAAAAACATGTTGCTTCCCCAAAGGATGTCCAGTGCATGGTGTTGAGCTTATCTTTATTAATTATGGAAGAGTTACTGTTTAACACAATAAACACCTGAATTCATTGTTTCTATGTATGACTTGATGACTCATTTACAGTCCCCTGGGCTCTAATGTTAGAATGAAACTATGCTATAAAATTTTCCTTACATAAACATTTTAAACTAATTCCTAAACACCTACCTATTATTATTATGCTTTTGTAATAAAATTGTTAAAATTAGCACCTTGTTAAAAGTCACACTGTAGGCAGTTTCACAGAGAGCTAGACTGAAGTTGTTGCTGCTGTTAAATATGAAAGGTTCAGGGTTGCTAATTCAGGAACAAGATGTCATATGCTCAGGCATGTCACTTTATCATCATAATAAAGTCATTAGTCACATAGCTCAGGGAAGGTACTTGGTCCTCACAAGAGATTAATTTTCCTTGTGCTAAGTGGGAGCAACAACGCCACTGCAGGATTTTTCTCTCTGAGGTTAGATAACAAAGAAATAGTTTCCCGAGTGCCTGGTGCACTCTGCACTCTGGCTTGCTTCAGCTTTTATAATCCCATGACCTGGAGTCTTACCTTTGTTGACTCTCGCCTTCCTGGTAATCATTTACTCAAGGACAGAAGTGATAGAACTGAAGGGTGACTGTAGTTAAAGCAGGAGTACAACACATCAAAAGGTGAAGATATTATATAACCAAGGTTTCCCTATTCCTTTTTCTATTATTGGAGCACATTTATTTTGAAAGATTTCTTAAAAATATTTTTTTTCGATACTCAAACCTTCCATGTATTCCCCCTTGCTTTCTTTCAAATTTATGGTCTCTTTATATATTCACATCAAATGTATAATTATGACCTGTTCAGTCTTTAATATTACTGTAAGCATGTTTTCAAGGCTAACCATTTGATAGTGACTATCCAATTGGTGTGTTCTTCCCTCCTGCTCTCAGCTTTCCTTAATTGCCTGAAGTTCTTTGTGTAGGGTTGAGACCTTTCCCCATCCGCATTAAGGGCACTTTTATTTGCAATAGGCAGAGACTATTACAAAAAAACCCACACCAACCAAAATCCAGAGTTTTGGAGCTCTGTTCTAACTGGTACATCTATAACAACTCCTGTACCTAAGGCTCGGAGAACATTGTGTAAGAGCGGGAGGAAAGGCTGTAAGAGCCGGAGGAATGGGGTGTTTGCTGTGACATGGTGTCTCCTAGAGTTGTCAGATTCCTTTTTAAAGATCAGTTTTATATTTGTGGCAGTATGAAGTAGAAGGTACAGACACTTCCCACTTAGCCACAATTCCAGTCAAGGAAGAATAAGAGACAGTTCAGTATCCTGAGACCCTGTTTGTTTTTGGTTATACCCTCCCCTCTTTTAATAAAGCATTTGGCAGTTCAATTTCTTCACCTGTACATGCTACGCATATACACACTCCTCTCTAAACAGTGCACTTAGCAATCTCAGAACTCCCTGGAACCTCTATCTGCGTTAGCACTGCTAACTCTGAACAATAAGTTAAGTCTCCTAGCTCCCAATAAACATCAGATTTAGATAGTTTCTACTTGAATGCATTCCCAATGTACTCAAGTATAAATAATAAAAGGATCAGTTTGGCCAGAACTGCTTTGAGATGCCTGTGTAATAAAACAAAATTATGATATCTAGTAAACTTTTAGGAAGACTCTTCTTTTTAACATCTTATGCCTGTGTATCACTAGGCATGCATACAATTATGTCAGATGCATTATGGGACATGTGCAGTAGAAAAATGATTTGACCTAATTTATCAAACAAAACAGAGAATGCCCCTTAGTAACCAATCTCTATGTCTTGAACTCCATAAAAGAAACTTCAAATAAAAATTGGGGTTCTTAAGTACTCTTACTCATGTGGCTGGCACACTCTCCATATTGATGGTGTCTCCCTCTCTGATCTGTACAAAGCATTGCTTCGCTCTGAATAAAGCAACTGGTTTTGCTTCTTTTGCAAATTTGTAGGAGCATTTATTTTCATCTCCTTGGATAAGAAGCCAGTATCTGGGAAACACTTGGCCTTGACCCCAACCACTGGTAATATCTCCACACACAGGCTCCACATGCTCTCCCATTATCAACATCTCCCATCAGAGCGGTCCAGCTGATACCATCAGTGAACCTCCATTATCACCTCGTTTTTACCTTTAGTCAATATTTTACCTTAGACTTCACTTTTGGTTTTGTACAATTTGTAGTTTAGACAAATGTACAACCACATACATACATGTGCACGCATTTGTGACAGCATCAAGGATGGTTCCATGCCAAGAAATGGATTTCTATTTTAGAAAATCCTTTGGCAATTTTGTTGTATTTTGATAACTTCTATCTCCTATTATTTTCCCTTATCCTCTTTCTATTCCTACTGAACTTCCTTTCCCCCCCACAAACCCCTTCTTTCTTTCATGTTTTCGTTGTGTGATCCATTTAGTTTATTTAAGATTGCATGAGCATGGAGAGGGGGTTATTTATTTATTATTAATATTTATTGGAGAATGGATAACTCCTCAATGGTGCAACCACTGAGGAAAATGATTCCTTCCTCCCTGGCAACCATTAACTACCAGTCGGTTCACAGGGAGGGGGTGGGGCCTTCCTTATACGTAATGGAATGTTGATGGCATAGTCTTGGAAAAATATTGGTTGGACGGTCACAGCTGCTGTGAGTTCATAGATGCCATAGGCATGTCATGTCCACCAAGCAGCGTGGACACTGAATACCGTGTCCCTGAGAACCTGTGACATGGAACCAGGGAGTGCACAGGGCTTTAACTGGAAGGTGTTGGGCATACACGGTGCAAGCAGCACTCTTCTGTGACATAAGTACTCTTCTGGTGTGTGTGTGTGTGTGTGTAGTTTGCTGTAGTGTGAGCACTATTCTGTGACATAGGTGTGTACTTTGCTGTAGTGTGAGCACTGTTCTGTGATATAAGTACTCTCTCTCCTGGTGTGTGTGTGTGTGTGTGTGTGTGTGTGTGTGTGTGTGTGTGTGCACTTTGCTGTAGTGTGAGCGCTATTCTGTAGTGTAAGTACTCTTGTTTTGTGTGGATTCTCTTCTGTTTGGAAACCAGTGCAACTACGTAGTTACTGAGCCAATAGCAGTGGCCACTATCTACTGTATACAGGGATTCCAGTGGCCAGGGGAAACTCAGAGGGTGGGAAGATCCTGACCTGAGTACTGGGGTCCTTTCACAGTGTGAAGGAAAGAGGGATAAAGTTGTTTAAAGCTACTTAGGATATGGTCAAATGATCTTTTGGAGCCATATATTTGGAGAGAATAAAAATTCCAACATGTCTTACTAGCAAGCAAATATTTTTTAAGAAGGAAGTGTCTCCTTGTCACCAATTAGAGCTATCTTTTATGCCCATTTTCCATAAAAATCACACACCAAAGCACAAAAATGGAAAAATCAGTGATATAAGGTGATCTTAAGTATATGCTTTATACTGTGTCCAAAACTCTTGGCATGTATTTTCAGGGTTCTTGATGGAAGAGCACATGTATATAAACATCTCTATTTTACTCCCAATCTCAATACTTAAGTTATCCCCCACTCCCACCCTTGATACTAGGTCACTGTAGAGAACTGGGTAGATTATTTTAAAATGGAGAAGCGAGAAATTATTACTATAGCACAAAGAAAACCTTAGATGATTTGGTTTGCTTTAACACTGTCAATCTGTGGTATGGCTCTTCTGGAGATCCCTGTGTCTCCCCATCCCAGGCCCCCTCCCCTCTCTTAGATCCTCCCCACTCTAGCACACCAGGCCCTCCTTTCCTGCCGGCAAGTACCTTCTATGGCAGGGCGTCTGCTCCAAAGGGAGCCAGCATCCCCTACTGAGTGCCCTCAGATTGGAACTCAAGCATCAATTCTTCACAGAACCCTAGTACACATGGGTCTCCTGTGAAAACGGCAGTGCTGAGAAAGCAGACCTGAGCCTGCTTTGCTCCCCTCTTGTCCACAGGACCCAGTACCATGGCTGACCAACAGCAACTGGATTCCCTCAGGGAGTGTAGCAGTTTTACAAATCTTCAACCATTGTTTTCTTGTTGATAAGGATATCTGTCTGCATGAATCAGCTAGCTAGGGTTGCCATAACTACCACAGAACGGGTTGCTGAAGCAATGGAAATTAGCATCCTAAAGTTCTGCAGCCCGGCCGGGCGGGTGGTGGTGACGCACGCCATTAATCCCAGCACCCGAAAGGCAGAGGCAGGAGAATCTCTATGAGTACAAGGTCAACCTGGGCTACAGAGTGAGTTCCAGAAAAGCCACAAAGCGACACAGAGAATCCCTGTCTCGAAAAACAAAACAAAACAAAACAAACAAGCAAAAAAAGTTTTGTAGCCCGGAAATCCTTCAGTTCTGCACTCTCCCTATTTTGGAGGATGCTGCTTGTTGTCTTCAGATGGTCTTTCCACTGGAGCAGGTATCATCTGTTTCTCTGTCATGCAAATTTCCTCTTCTTATAAAACATCGGTACATTTCAGGTAAACCTCCCCTCTAAATGCCTCATTTTCACTTAACGTCTGTTAAGACCTTACTGCTAAACACACTCACATTTGGTGCTCTTGGGTCTTCATTACAGGAAGTCCCCTTTGGGGACTACAGCTCTGCTCATGACAAAGTCCAGTGGACAGACTGAAGCAGGCGGGGATTTTAAGCTTGTTGACATCTACCGCCAGACCTTTTAGGAATGCCGCACGTATTTATAGTCCCACCAGTCAAGGATGGTGGCTCCTGTCTCCCTATACTCCTACAGTGCTGGTATCATCAAAGAACTTTTCATCAGTTTGGTGGTCCTTGGAAGGCTGATATAGGAAGATTGCTTGAGTGCAGGAGTTTGAGGCCAGCCTAGGACAGTGAAACCCTGTCACAAAATATAAAGGAAAAAAGAAACTATGCATAGATTAAACCAAAAGGCAAGATTTTTGAATATGCACAAACCATTTTTGAAAACCAGATGTTTTATTCTGTAAAATGCATATACAAATACTTCCAACGTGGGAAATGGGTGAGAGAGGAAATGCCATCACAGAACAGCCAGTGGTGGCCATGCAGCAAGGAGACAGGAGATGGGCGGGCTGCCCCAGCACCTCACAGTGCCCACAGTATGCTGAAATACCAGGAAACTGAGTACTTCTCACTGCTGAGGAAAATGCAACAGAAATGGCAGGTTCTGTGATGAGAAAAACTTAGAAAAGGAATCAAAACCAATTCCACTCAAGGCATATCTTATAGTGGAAATAAAAAGGAAAGAGACCAACAGCCTTTGGAACACCCACGTTCATAGTAGGTTGCCGACCTCTGACCGGACCTCCAGTCTAAGAAGTGTGAGGATGAGCCAGTACTGCTACCTGAGGTGGTGATGGTGAGGCTTTGTGGAAGAGGTCACCCCTGAGTGGCCAACTGACTGGTCTGTGGCATTTTAATATTGGGATCTACTAGAAAGGAACATCTGAGGACTGGGCCTTGTGTACCCACCCAAATCTTAGGTTTGTGAAAAGGAATTTCTGTTTTGAACTATGAACTTTAAACCATAACTGGACTCAAACATCTTTATCAACCAAAATAGGGATCACTATAATCAACACATTTTAAAGAGTTTTAAAATTTAGATTTATTTAGATTTATCCATTTTATGTGTGAGTATGAGTATTTTGCCTCTATGTATGTATATAAATCATGTGCATGTTGGTGCCCATGGAGGTTAGAAGAGGGCACCGGAACTTTAACTCTTGGAACTGGAGTTAAAGGTGGTTGTGAACCACCATGAGGGTGCTAGGAATCAAACCCAGGTCCCCTGTAAGAGCAACAACTGCCCTTAACTGTTGAGCCTTCTCTTCAGCCCTCAACGAACACCTTTTTTTTTTTTTTTTTTTTGCCAATAAGAAATAAGTTTATTCATGCAATGTAGAAATCCATGCTTTGGAACTCAATGAGCTCTTGAAACCATTCTGCATCCTATTGGTTGTGGAAGTGATTTCCCTGGAAACAGTTGTCCAGATGCTTGAAGAAGTCATAGTCAGTTTGCTAGCGGATGGGTGGACATGGAGATAAGACAAAACTCTGTAGTCTGACTTGTTCACCTTCTGAAGCACTGGCTGTGTAGAGTTTGGTCAGGGGAAGAAGTCAGCCCTTCCTGTTGACTGATGCTGGCTACAGGTATTGCAATTTTCATTGCTATTTGCTGGGCATACTTCTCAGACATCACAGCTTCATTGGGATGCGTGATGGTTCAGGCTGGCAGAATACTGCCAACCGTGACCATGACTTTTCTGGGTGCAAGCTTGATCTTAGGATGTGCCTTGGACCTTTCCCCAACCTAACCACCGAGCTGGATGCTGCTGGTTATATCCATTACAATCCACTTTTGTCACACATCACAATTCAATTGACAAATGACTCTTTATTGTTTCACAGAACAGGAGAAAAAGCTTGGAATGGTCATTTAAAAAATGTTTGGTCAGCTCATGAGACACACTTACTGACCTTTTTTTAAAAAAATCTTTTCACTGTATTTTAAATGCTAACAACCTTCAGATGGTCCATGTTGAGTTCTTTGGCGACTTCTCATGTAGTTGTAAAAGATTATCTTTGATGATTGCTCTCAACTGGTCGTTATCAACTTCCCACAGCCAGCAGCTATGATCCCCATCTTCAAGGCTCCTGTCTCCTTTGCAGAACTTGATCCATCTCCGAAGTATATACCTGTTAGCAGTTGCTGGGCCACATGTATTGTTGATGCTGAGAGTTGTCACTAATGTTTTGCAGCCCATTTCGAACTCAAAGAAGAAAATAGCTCAGATTTTCTTTTTGTCTAATATTATTAGCACAGTATAAAATAAATACGGTAAATAGTAAATATATAGCCAATAGATATAGCCCAAACACAAAGCGAGAAATGTGCATTAAAATGATGTATAGCACAGTCATACTTGTTAAGAATGTGTTCTAATACCAAACAGCAAATTTCACCAATGTAAAATTCACAATTACTTTTCACCAAAATAGCAGCAGGTGTTCAGTCTCCTTAGTTCCTTGACCCCATTGCCCGGGGCTCTTGGGATCTGTCTTTCACCTCATAGTGAACACTGTCTAATGTGTGTGTGTGAGCTCAGCATAAATCACACTGTTTGAGCATGTTTGGCTCATCCTCTCCTCAGGCCTACAGTGTTTCTCCTGTTGGCTATGGATTCCAGCCATTGTCTGTGATTCAAACCAAGCTGACTGACAGCAACATTCTGGACTCAGCCGTGCAGGGAAAGCGACTCGTGCTCATCTTTCCCCTCTTACGTCACTCTGCCTGCTACAGGTCTCATCTTGTAACCCCACTTCATTAGGATTAAGAAAAGGTTTTATTTTTATTGATTTTACATGTATGTCTGTATGGTGGTGGGGAGGTGTGTGCATTTGAGAGCAGAGCCTGAAGAGGGCAGAAGAGAACAACAGATCCCCTGGAGCTGGCATCAGAGGAGTCTGTGAACTGCCAACGCAGGTTTTAGGACTAAACTACTAAACTAGGTCCTTGTAAGAGCAGTTTGCACTCATAACGGCCAAGTGATCTCTCCAGTCCCTTTGCTGGGACTTTATTAACAATATAGTGGCTTAATCTGAAATCTGGTGGTCCCAGTGACATGTTTCTAAAGGCCAAACTAAATGGCTCTTTCCTCAATCTTATCACCGAGAGACTGAAAGTCTTTAAAGAGAAAACTAAAAATCAAGTTAGCCATCTTCTAAGGCTTCATATGGCGCGCGTGCGCACACGCATGCACACACAAATGCCCCTGAGTGGACAGCTATCTTACAATGTCCCCCAGCACCACTCGGAAGAACACTATGTCCACAGCCCCCACTCACCCTAAAGCCCTGTGAGGTGACGGGTTCAGGGTGTATCCAGAGCGAAGCACTTGCACCATTGGACCGATGTCTAGGTAAGTTTTTATACATATGTGCAGATCAGTCACGGGCACTTGAAATGCCTTGACTAGAATAACCCAGCATTTCAAGATTAAGTATTTACACAGTGACAAGGCCCTGGTTGGCTCTGCAGGCAATGAATATGGTTCTCAGTCCCGGAAAATGGGACTGAGAGTTGTGGGATTAGGCTTCGGCCAAAGCTATTTTCTCAGGACAAAATTCAGGATTGCTCTGATGCAATTTTCTGGGTTTTTCTTTGATAATAGCATATCAAAATATTATTATCACCGTCATGAAGAAGAACTAATTAGTGGACATGATATGCAAATTTATTAATGAATGGTTTTCATCTGGAACAATAATGGTGAGTTAGGGATTGAAAATGTGTAGGACTTTTCTGATTGCCCACATTATAACACTGGAAAGGATTGTAGTCTTGAGCCCATTTAAAGAAATTATTTTACTTATTTCTATTGTGTGTGTAAGTTTCTGTGCATATGTGTGTGCATGTGCATATATGCATATATGTACATCTGTGTATATTTGTGTGCATGCATGTTTGTGTATGTATAAGTGCATGCATGTGTATATATGTGCACATGTGTGTGTGTCTGAGTGTTTATTTATGTGTGTGTGCATGTACATGTGTTTGTTTATGTGTGTGCATGTGTAGTCTTTGTGTGTGTGTATGTGTCTCTGTGTGCGTCTATGTGTGTGTGTGAAGTACAGGTACTCTGTAGCACAAATCCAACTGGTCTTTTAAAAAAATTTTTTTATTGAGGTTTATTCTTCAGCTAGAAACCATAATACCACTTTAACTGTAAGGACATGACTGAACTGTTAATTCAGATGAAGGAAACCATCTTCAACCTTGTTCATTGAATTGATACATTGATATAGACAGGAGGGTTATTCCTATCTGTATTAATCTTCAGTCAAAACTTTCTTTTTTTTTTAGAATTTAATATCTTTAAGTCTTTAATGTAAATCAGCTTTCATGAGGGATATTTTTTTCTTGTTTTTTTTAATTAAGAGATTTTTCTATTCATTTTACATACCAACCACAGATTCCCCTGTCCTCCCTCCTCCCACCCCCCAGCTTTCTCCCCCAACCCACCCCCATTCCCACCTCCTCCAAGGCAAGGTCTCCCATGGGGGAGTCAGCCTAGCCTGGTAGATT